ATGGGTACGGATGGACTATCTTAAAACATAAAGCCTCCTGCCCTGGCTGTCGACGGCGACCGCAGGCATAGAAGCTCAGTTGTGTTGGGTGCAGGATCTTGTGGACATCTGGACTGGGCGGTGGTTTATATGTTGTCAGATATTGTCATGGATAACAAACCCTTGTGCAGAGGTTTACTGACGAAGCCGCTGGGGCATGAGAAACGCTCCTCAGCCCTGCCAGAAAAATAGCTCTAATGGACATGCGGCCCTTACATTCACTGCGCTTCTACCAAAATATTCACTGCAACATGGCGGACAACGTTTAAATGTCGGTCCCAGACTTTACAGTTACAGCTCTGACTCAGTTACTGCAACATTATTTATAACCAACAACAACACTGTGCCTACCTCACATGGCCTGAGTTGAAGGTTAGATAACTCAGGTAACGAACAGGTGGTTAACGAGTAATAACATGTAAAAACTGCTCACATCGCACCTTCAAGAGGAGAAAATAATCTGCCTCACAACGTTGGTTTCAAAGTGAAACTAAACTTCAACCGGAAACTGTGGTGTTTGGGAGAGTACAAAGCTGTAAAATGTTGGTGGGTTTCACTCCTGTTCACTCCTGTAACTTTGAGCTTTCACTTGTTTATTGGTGATGCACCTGAGACAGAGTTATGACCGTGGTCTGAACGGGGAAAAACTAGTGTTTGAAGGTTTCTCAAGAATACGCTGCGTTCAGCAACTCCATGAGTTTGAGGCGAGTTGATGAAATGCCTTTTTATGTTTGCTGTCATGTTGTTTATGCAAAATTCTGGCCCCTACCCATTATGAATGTCGCAGCAGAAATCGAGACTCATCAGTAACCAGCAACGTTTTTTTTCTCAATTTTGTTTGAGCCTGTTTGATTGTCAGTTTCCTGTTGTTAGCTGACTAGTGTGGCAACCCGTGTGAGTCTTGCTGCTGCTGTAACCCATCTGATTCAAGTTTATGACATGTTGGTACAATCTTGGCCATTCTCACTCCTGACCTCTGGCATCAACAAGGCATTTTCGGCCCAGAAAACTACCGCTCACATGGAACATTTTCTCTTTTTCGGACCCATTCTCTGGTTAAACCTAGAGATGAGTTGTTGCGTGAAAATCCCAGTAGATCAGCAGTTTCTGAAATACTCCACACCAGCCGTTCTGGCATCAAACACGCATTTGCCAACTTAAAATCACCTTCTCCTTTCCTATTGTGATGCTCGTTTTGGAACTTAGTCAGAGTCGTCTTGACGCGTGTCCTAATCATGCCTTAATGCCTAAATGCATTGAGTTGCTGCCATGTGAATGTGGCTTATTAGATATTTGCGTTAATGGAAGCATTGAAGAGATGTACCTAATAATAGTGGCCGGTGAGTGTATATCCCCACATGTTGAGAAAATACTGTGCTTATGTTTACTACTTAAAGGTCCAATACTTAAATGTGCTTCTTCATTCCACCGCTTGTGGAATGTCAAAAAATGACATAAGTATTAGATAAATGAATATATGCTGAAATAAAATAATTAAATATATAAATAACATTTTGGTAATAAAAATGCTACTTATGTATTTTTGCATTTAGTTATTTATACATTTCTAATGTATTTATTTATTGTATTTATTTATACATTTCTAACAATGTATTTATTTTAGTTTATTTTATTTTCTCATTTATTTAGTCGCCAGTGGTCGCAGCTGCTCCTCTTCTAATTCATTCCATTCAAATGAACTGAGCTGATGGAACCGACAGAGTCACCAGGACAAAATGTCTGTGGTTTCATCTTAATCATTGTGTTTTGATGCTGATCAGATTGTGTTTTTAATCTACAACCTGCAGCTGGAAAGTCACCCAGGCAGCTACACGCTGTCAGGTAATGAGCTTCTACCACGAAGATCAAACACAACATGGCGGACACGTTTAATGTCGGTCCAGACTTTACAGTTACAGCTCTGACTCAGTTAGCAGTAACATTATAATAACACAACAACAAACACCCACGATGAGTTGAAGTTAGATAACTCAGGTAACGACAGGTGTTAACGAGTAAAACATTAAAAACTGCTTCACATTACTTCAGGGAGAAAATAATCTGCGTCACACACGTTGGTTAATAAGTCAAACATAACTTCAATGAGGAACGGGGGCGGGAGAGTAAAGCTGTAAAATGTGGTGGTTCCACTCCCTGTTCACTCTCCGTACTTTGAGCTTTCCACTTGTTATTGGATCACCTGAGACAGAGGTTATGACCGTGTCTGAACGGGGAAAACTAGTGTTTGAAGGTTTCTCAAGAACCGCTCGCAGCACTTCCATGAGTTGAGCGGTTGTTCAAAACGAAAGGAAAATCAAAACAGACAGACATTCTTCCATTATTAGTAAAGGTTATGGTACAAGAACCAAGTTTTCAAATTATAAAAGAAAACTGAACAGTATTTTATTTATTACACATAGAAATTAGAC